GTTTCTTCTCTGATTTGCCAACCTATGCCAACATTGATTTTGGTAATGACCTGTTTTTCCGCAGTAAAAACATCTAGATTTTGGCTTCTTATAAACATGGTGACTGTATTCATAGTTTGCTAAATTTCTTTTTCTTTCATTCTGTGCATTAATGACATTAATGACATTCTTATTAACATGTTGACTGTATTCATTGTTTGCTAAATTTCTTTTACTTTCATTCTGTGCATCAATGACATTGTAGTTTCTAGTTACTGTTTCATCTTTCTTAACTTCCTTGTGCTTCTTTATTGATTCTAATTCACACATAAATTTCTGGGTTAATTTCTCCATTTCTTTGTTAAATTTATTCTTGAGTTCTAGTATATCTTCTTTATAGTTTGACTCCAGATTTCTAAGTAACTCCTCAATAGGTACGTTCTCTTCATTGTGGCTTATTAAGTTCACTGATTCATTAATCATCATTAGTTTATCATGATTCCTGCCATTCTCCGATGGACTTATTAAATCATCACTGCCATTCACTGATGGGCTTATTAAATCATTTTGACTGCCATTCACTGATGGACTTATTTCTTGTTTACTACCATTATCTGATGGACTTATTTCTTGTTGACTACCATTCTCTGATGGACTTACGATACAACTTTCAATAATATTCTCGTGTACCTGCGTTTGAGTCAATAAAGAGTCAATTTTAAAACATTCTAATGTATCTGTCACCTTTAAATCATTATTAACTTCAACCTCTGTTTTATCCTTGGGTTTCAATTCTTCCTGGACTATGTTACTTTGTTCTTCATTCCAAAGGTTGCCAATATTTACTTCTTCAAGTTCTGCCTGTTGACTTTCTAATTTTGGTTCATGTTTGTATGTAGCATCTCTTAATCTATCACGCATTATTTCTATCTCATCATCTAATTCTCTAATTACTTCTTCGTGAACTAGTCGGGGTTGTTCTGTTTCTTTGTCCAATGCTTCTTTTTCTTCTTCTCTGTCTTGTTCAAGTCGATTGGTTGCCCAGGCTATCTTCTTCTTCATCTTCTTAATGCCTAGATCCCTCGCCATTTCCATATATTCTTCTAGTCTTGACATCTTAACCATCGGAATGTCGAGCTCCTTCATTAGCTCTTTAAAATATGTACGACTTGACATTTTGCTATATTTTCTATGACATAAAATATAAATTCATTAGTTGACAATAGATAAATGTTAATTAATTTACAATACCCTTTCTTGGTTTCTGGCTTGTTTTAGTTGATTACAGACATCTGGTAATCCAAGAAAAGTTCATAGTACATATATAGTACAAAAATAGTTCACTTTGTTGATTCCAAAAAGTTGAAAAAATTCAAAATAGTTCTAGTAGCCTGTTACAGAGTAGAAATTTGTCCAGTTTTAGATAAGACATCTTTAGGAACAGTTACAAGAATAAATTTGATCTGCTAAATCCAAACAGTAGAAAAACTTGAACAGCTAATCCATATAGCAAAAACTTGAACAGCTAAATCCAAACAGTAGAAAAGAAACACTAAGACTTGATCGGCTAAATCCAAACAGAAAAAACACACAGACGATATTTACTCGACATTGGTGAGACAATATCGAAATAAGGTGATAAAAATTATCACGTTGATGACTTGACTTGAACAAAACGTCTGACTTGACTACAGCAACCCTTCTGACTTGAGTGTAGATAGATGACTTTCAAGAACTTGACGTACTTGGTAAACAGTGGAAGACCACTTCAAAAACGTTGAAAACTGCTTACAATGATAATGTGACAATTCTTGATCACTTGTAGTAACACTGTAACTTCGTTGACGATTTTAGACTTCAATATAATTTACCAATGTAACAACATCACTTCTTCAATTGCTTCTGACAATGTAACAGTAGACGCTCACTTCTGACACCATATGTAACAACATGTATTCTTTGTTGTTATTGTGGGTTCTTCAATATACTCATACGAGCAACAGTAGTTGTGAAACAATAACTTTATTTACACTTTGTACAGAGAATTAATAGATCCATAGTAAATCCATGGTCACAACTGGTATAAGTACAATCACAGTCAAGAAACAAAGTGTCGTAGTAACATCCTACATTCACAGCCACAGTCCTCAGGTTCCAGTTCTAGCACACAACACCCGTTCACCTTTCGCTCTCCCTTTTATTCACCACTTTCTCTCCCCTTACGTCAATGAGCGATCTCACCCAAAACACGGAAAAACACATGACGATCGCTCAGACAGTCCTTCCGCTAGCCAGGTACTCTTCATTCATGCAAAACACAATATAATAAAGATACATAATAATACAGTCTGTGACAACGTGTAATGGCGACATAAACAATGGCCGCCATAAATTTTATTGTACACATTGTAAGCTAAAAATAGAAAAAATAGGTCAAGGTGTTTAAATTTGCATAGTTATTTAAAAACTTGATCTGCAAAGTTTTGTAAACAAAATAACTATAAAGTGGGGCTGTCAGAAATCGATCACGAGTTCCTTTACAGCCAATCAATGTTTGTCTTACGAAAGTGAAACATCGGGTTATAACTTAGGCTTGATGAAAATAAATAGAAAAGTAGCCTTAAACTAGGTTGAATTATGGATTTTTTCAAATAAAATATTCTGTCATTTCAAATACACCATTAAGTTCCTTACCCCTTAAGAGAACATTTGACACCACATTTAAATATCTAGCTTATTCGGTTGACGAGAAAAAAGAGAATTTGAAAATTTAGCTAGAATGGAAAATGAATGACAAAACAAGAATCTTGCTCCTGGACCGGCATAACATGACGCCGTGAACTTGTGTGCACGAGCTTTTAATTCCCGCCATGGTAATTGCGTCAGCTTAGGTCATTTACTCACCGGAAAATAACAAAAAGCAACTGGTTGATAATAAAACTTAGATCTAGTTATTTTATTATTTATTAAATTCTACTCTACATTTTATTCATACCATTTTAAGAAATAATGAACACCTACATAAATCAAACGACCATAATAAATATTTTTATTTCAAATTCTAATTTTAAATAATAAATATGCATAATATAATATGATAGTAATAGTTAAGATAGTTTATAAATGCAAATACATTTTACACTCAATCACATTATATTGAGTCAACAGTGTGGCAGCTGAGGTTCATACATGGTATTAGTGTCTTTTTTTTTTTTACATTACATTTTTTTCATCTTGAAAACATGACGTATGTGATTTTTTTAAAAATAAAATCTCCAAACATCGTCACTCGCGTGATTGCTTGCTTATGTTTACTATCCTGTGTATGAAAAATCCCACCACGGTCGCGGGGTCACCGTGACTTCAGCAGGCCTACAGTACACGTCATAGAATGAACACGCGTACACGAGATGGTCGGTGTCTTCACTTCTCTCTCTCTCTCTCCCCCCCCCCCCCCCCCTCTTCTTCAAGCAAATTGAAAAAGAGACCTACTTCCCTACTTCTGGTCATTTTTTTTTAGTTTGGTCATTTTTTTTTTTTAAGTTCGGATATCAGGCATGCTAGACAGCCAGCTGTATAAAAAAAATATTTTTTAAACTAGATCTACGTCTAGCTTAAAAAAATAAATAAATAAACGCTTAAAATGCCCGTAAACAGATTATTTAGCGCCAAAAAAAAGGCCGCTGAACGAGCATTTTTTACAATACGCAGCAATGAAAAAGGCTAACGGCCAATCAATTAAGTCTAAAAATCGCCCGTAATTAGGCCTAGCTCTGAAAAAGGCCACTGAACGAGCAACACTGATTATATAAACGAATAGGCCACGCGGCGTTGACGAGGTCAACCACCGGTCACGAATGCAGCAACGGTCGGCCCACAGTGAAGAAAAAATCAATATACTAATAAAATTACTAATACAATAATAATGTCTATAATTTTACTTTTTCCACACATGCTACAATTGATTTATAATTAAAATACTAGACTTAACAGTTCATTCCGTAAAAAACAAAAACTAGTTGTTTCAGTCTGGCAACTAGCGTAACAATGACGTCATGATACTTAAAATAGCGGATAGAAATGTCAGCGTGGGTACCTCATCCTCGAGGAAGATTTTAGAAAAAGTAATAAAAAATACTGTAAATATACATGATAAATATATCAATTATATATTAATGTACAGTTAGTCGAGCCGTTTTCCCCGTTAGTCGGTCGTTTTTGGCGGCGGTTCAGTTTTTACGGAGAGTGCTCCACTAGAAATCCTCTCATTATTTACAACCACGAATCTTGCGATTTTTTCTGGCATTCTAAGGCATATTATCCATTTTATTAGCAATTTGCATTAAAATAATGATGAGAATTTGCGATATAAACAGTTTTTTCATTTGTCGTGGATGGGACCCCTAAAATAAACGGAAAAACCGTCAGAAAACGATGCGTGACGTTTCAGGGTCAGAGGTCAATCCTGCCATCTAAGCAATGCGCCAGACTACTTAAACTCAAATTATTTTCAAGTTCTCTGGATCTGCAACTTGTATAGCATTGATTCTAAAAATATTAAATTTCTGAATTAATTTTAGGCTTAAGTTTTTAATAAAATTTTATCATTTATTATTTTTATGGTCCTAAATCTAAAAAAGCACATTTTTATTCCATGTCAACAACAGTCATTACGGAAGGAATCTCGTCAACTCGCTTGTATCCATTGGCCAACGCAAAAACAAGGGAATTCCACCCCACAAAAAAATTCGCTAAAAAAAACTATTTGAGATAGACAGAAAAATCTTTTCTGATTTGTTTTCATATAATCTAGTTGAGCTCTACAAGAATATGTAATTTTTATGTGAAGATTAGTGTTTTTTTTTACCAAAATCCATACTAGATCTAGATCTAGATCTAGATCTAGATCTAGATCTAGTAATTTTGGACGAATTTACTAACTATGGTTGATGTTCGTTGCATTATTACGAAATAAACATCCCTAATCTCATTTACTTTTAATTTAAGTAAACATACTTTACCCTCAAATTATCCTTTATAATGTAACACTATTGTGTAGCGCGGTCACGGATGTTTCTTGATTGTGAATCTCTTACGAATTGAGATATTATGTATACAAACCCAGTATTCTTCCGTTGCCTAATTCAAACTAGATCTAGGTCTACCTAGAATAGCCTAACTAAATTTTCAACTCTTCGAAACCAAACTTCCGGTGTAGCTCAAACACCGCGCGTAGGGCTACAGTCGGTCGTTGTTGTTTTACATTTACATTAGGCCTAGGCTAGGCCTAGTGTAGAATGAGATGGTTAGGCTAGGCTATCAAAAACGTATGCCGTGTTTCTATGGTTCGAAACTGCTGAGCGAAATTTCGACTACTTCTGACGGACCGATTTGTTTCAAAGCCGGTGTCGCTTCTTAACTAGTATAGGTTTTCAAAACGTAATATAGGCCTAATGGCAGAGGTATGTACATTTCTATAAGATTTTCTATAAAATAAATGAACTTAGTTTTTGTGTGCTACAGTTTTATTCATATGAACAATATTAATAACAAACATTTACTTTACCAGTGTCCTTTGTGCATGGAAGCACTAGAAATTGACGATCACAGCTTGTTCTATATCTCAAAGAGAAGGTCACTTAGTATGGACCTTTCCAGTGTCCGTGAGCAAGCTTCCCACTCACGCCTACTTTCCTTGCTTCCACCAGACACAACACTACATCTCCAACATTGCAGTTATTGAAGATGACGTTGAGGTCGTAGTCTCTTTTGTTTCTCTCACTTCAGTTGTTTGCGTCCCCCCCCCCCCCCCAAAGAGATGCTGGAAGAAACTCTGCATATAACATCTAGACTTTTAAAGGCCCTATTTAAAAAATAGCTTAGGGTCTTATTGAAGTCTAAATCCGGTTCTGTACATAGGGAATCAAGCTGATTAAGGGGGAGATTGCGTAGCGAAGGGTGCTCTGTAGCACACACCAAGATCAAGCGAGTTACCAGTGGAATATCTCACCGCATGTTATATGCATACTTTGAGACCTATTATTTGGAAATTGTTTTATCTTTCAGAATTAGCTCTTTCTGTATTCTGTTTGGCAATAATTAAAAACATTTATAATAGACTAGCGTACCCGACCCCCGCGCGTTGCCGCGGGGATAGAAGAAAGTTTGACGAAATATATTAGGATTTCACCAACGCGTGATCAATTATAATTATATGTTCTTAGACACTTGACCTTCTTTTCTAAAAAAATGAGTTATTTAAATGTAAACAATGCCTGTTCTTGGATCATAAACACCAGGACACGGGTTTACCTACACTACCGCATGAAAATCTTGAGTGTACATTAATCACTCGCCGAAATATATGGTAGAACACACTTCGGTGACCGCCTCTGTGTCAGAGACGTAGAGGGGCGCTCTCAGGGCCCCACCCCCCGATTACACTACCGCATAGACGCGGAGTACGACCCCTGGCTCCTTAAAACTAACAGACGCCATCGGCCAAATAGCATCCTGTTAATAATGATGCAGATTTCGTCATTCGCTAAAGTGACACAAATGAACAGGATTTTTTTCTTTTACACGTAAAAAAATTATTTGACGTGTTTTTAAATATCAGTGTGACTGATGCAATATGCTAGCGTTACTAATGGTCTATTATAAGATGCTCGATCTCAATTTCTGACTGGAGTGTCTAATAATAGATGCTTATTGCATCATTCGCAAAGTGACGAAACTCTACAGTAGGCTCCTCAGATTCAAAAAGTTATTTTTTCATCTTTCGCAAGGTGACGAAACTGTACAGAAGGATTTCCTCGCGTTACAAAGTTATTTTTAGAAGCCTGTTGTAGTTTTACCGCTGAATATAGTAGTACCCCTTACTCGCTATGCAGGACGCTCGATTAACGTATGCCAAGTGCCAACTTAGTCGCTCTAAAACTCTGGGCGCCAAACAGTGTATTGACGAAAGTTGTACCCTATATGGCGCCGCCCGTAAGAAACTTAAGTTTTCTTTTTCGCAGAAATATTCTCGGGAGTATTCTGATCTACTCCCTAAAAATTCTCGGCACTCGGATGAACCGCATCCGAGTTTTATTTTTTATATTCCGTGTATAGAGAAAAAAATCGCTCCCCCCACCGGGGGGCGCCGCCTTTGCAATATTATACAATATTTTTTTATAAACCGTATATAGAGAAAAATCGCAGCCGCCCGTGGCGCCGCCCTTGCGAAATTAAAAAAGGATTTTTTTTATGGAACCCTTCCCTGAATTGTTCTAATCAACTCCCCCAAAGTCTCATGACTATCGGATAACGGTGTCACACCAAAATCGACTTATTTTTATAAACCGTATATTGAGAAAAATCGCACCCTCTCGTGGCGCCGCCCTTGCGAAATTAAAAATGTTTTTTTACAGAACCATTCTATAGAGTTTTATAATGAGCTCCCCAAAGTTTCATGCCTATCGGATAAACGGTGTCACTGCAATTCACGTTTACTATTTTTATATACCGTATATAGAGAAAAATCGCACCCTCCCGCAGCGCCGCCCTTGCGAAATTAAAAATGATTTTTTACAGAACCCTTCCCTAGAGTGTTATAATGAACTCCCCAAAATTTCATGCCTATCGGATGAACGGTGTCAAATCAAAACCAACCTTCATTTTTATATACCGTATATAGAGAAAAAACAAATCGCGCCCTACGGGGGCGCCACCCCTACGAATTTGAAAATGTTTTTTGCGCAAAACCCTCCCCAGGAGTATTCTCAACATCTTACCAAAGTTTCATGGCGATTGTGAGAATGGTGTCACTGCAGTTCACTTTTATTATTTTTATATACCGTATATAGAGAAAAATCGCACCCTCCCGTGGCGCCGCCCTTGCGAATTTGAATTTTTTTTTTCGCAGAAACCTCCCCAGGAATATTCTCAACAACTTCCCAAAGTTTCACGGCGATGTGATGAGAGGTGTAGTAATGCATAAAGGACACACACACACACACAAACATACATTGCTTTTTATATATATAGATTAATAAGGTAGACCTACAGCCAAGTTATTCTCCTTGATAATTTCCAGGATAATGGATTGCAGCAGGGCAGAGGCACAGCGAGGGGGGGGGGGGGGGGGCGGGGGTGCGGACCGCACTGGGTGACACCATTTAGGGGGGGGGGGTGACACCAATGCAAAAAATAGCAAAATATATAGAGAAAAACTTGAGGGGGTGCACATCGAAAATTTGAGGGTGGGGGGGTGCAAATCGAAAGTTTGAGGGGGGTGCAAATCGAAAATTTGAAAGTTTGTCCCCGGGAAGGCTCGCTACGCCTCTGGGGGGTGACACCATTAAGTGCCGCACCGGGTGACACCCGACCTCGCTACGCCACTGCATCAGGATCAAATGATTTGTACTTGGAAACGTATATTAATTAATTTATTAATAGGTTTGTTAATAAATAGACCGAATTAAAAAAAATAGTAATAAATAGAAATATTAAGTTTTTGATTGTTTTGAGTTTTAAAGATACGAAACTGTAACGTTTGAAATTAGATTGTCACTTACATTCGACACGGCTCCCTCATAATAGACAATTTAAATAATACTTTAAATTATTTAAAATGAAATAATAATATATCATAACTAGTTTTTAGAAATATAAGTTATAATTGCTCAAGAATGAAATAATAATGCTCATTTTTTTTCTAATTTTATAAAATATAAACAAATATAAATCTCGTCGGCTGCGAGAACTAGTTCGACATTATTACTGTACTGAAAAAATTGCAGTAGGAGGACCCTGCAAAATGGTACCTTTTGTTATTGAATAGCTTCCTCTTGATCTAATAAGTTTTATGTAGCGTAATAGTAAAAGTATTCTCGTATACTATACTTAGTAGATTTTACAAGAAATATAAATAGTTTTATTGTTTCTGTAACCCGACGGTATATCGATATCGTTAATGAAAAAAGGGGGTGGGCTCTTCATTGACTACTCACTACTCATCAGACCTGAATTCTCAGTCAGTGAATTCAGAATTCTCCTTCATTCCCTTTACTAATAAGGCCAAATTCAAGTAGATTCGATGGAATCTCGATTTTTAAAGGGTAGATCTATATTTCAGATGTTATACTTTTCACCTCAGCCCTACCGCAGGTTTTCATACATTATTGGAAAAGATAGTTGATAGAGGAGTTTACACTTTTCGGACACACACCAAAAATTACGTAGGACCGAACACTTCGTCGGTTTTTGGCTCATAGAAACTTTAATTAGCATGTCTCACGCGAAACCACGGCGCCTGCACGTAAACTGTTCATTTATGAACACTTCCGTGTCAAGTACTTCCGTTTCCTTTCTCAAGAATTATTTTTAGAAATTTTTTAACGTTGCATGGTACGCACATTTCTATTTTTACACCAGCCGGATGAAGTGACCTAGGGTTGGACTTAGGGGCAAAACTTGAACCAATCACTGCTTAGCTAAAAGGTTACATTATAAATAGCTTCTATATATGTATGGAACATCGTAAATGTCAAGGTTAATGGGTTTTTTCGTGCTTGAACAATAAAAAAGGGGTGTTCGCTAACTTATTGGGCCTTACATGGGATCGGACAGCAACACAAAAATATTATTAAATAAGAATTTAGAGCATAAAAGGGGCTGGTTATTGAAGGGAAAGGGTCAAAATAAGGTCAAGAAGGCAGTGGAATGCAAAAGAGGAGGGGGAATCATGTGGCCTGGCTGGCTTAGCAGCGTACTGCGCGAGCCGCAATGGCTGAATGGGATGAACTTTGGGAGTGTGGGAAAAAGGTTTTATACTATTAAAATTACCTCACAAACAATCAATAACACAATATAAATGCATATAATATATGTTTTTATTCATTAAATTGACTTTAAATTATTCTAAATGAACAAAAAGTGCTATGTCCGATGACGGGTAAAGGTGTCCGAACACATGTAAAACTGTATTACATGTGTTCGAACACACGTTAAGACCCCCAGTCACTATAACAAGAATAGCTTAAGTTCTATGCGTATGAATACAAAATGACACACACATTATTAAAGTAGAATGGTTGCGGATAGATATGATACTTTTTTTTGTTTTCTATGTTAAGCGGTTACTGAATGAGACCGCATGGAATTTTTACGTTGCGTTTTTTCGCTATGTGTGTCCGAAAAGTGTAAGCTCCTCTAGTTGACTCAAATACAACTTGAACTTAAGAAGGCAGCTATGATTAACTTTTTAAAAAAAAATTAGTTTTATCTCTGGATCTAGATCTATGTTAAATAGATGTTTACAATTTTTACTCACATTATCATTGGCTGATTGTTTTTGTAGGTCACCAGATTTTTTTAGAGTATTTAGAAGACAATCGAAGTACAGACCATTCAAAATGCCCAATGACCACTGCTATTATCATTTACTATTATGCGATAACTGTAATGGACACCAGTGAGAAAAGTCTCAAAGGAAATTGAGAGGCCAATAAATTTATTTAAAAATCATGCACGGCTTAGTTACAATTAATATGGTTATAAAATCCTGTCTGTTTTTTTTCTGACTTTAGGCCTACTAAAGATTGGATGTATTTCATGTTTTTAATATTTTCGGTAACTAAATAAAAAAAAAAAAGCAAAAACAATTTGGTTTTCACGTGTAATGGCGACATAAACAATGGCATCCTGTTATTTGATAGGCTGCCATATATTCTATTGTACACATTGTAAGCTAAAAAAAGAAAAACTAGGTCATGGTGTTTTAATTTGCATTGTTATTTAAAAACTTGATCTTCAAAGTTTTGTAAACAAAAAAACTATAAAGTGGGGCTACCAGAAATCAATCCTGTACAGCCAATCAATGTTTGTCTTACGAAAGTGAAACATCGGGTTATAATTTAGGCTTGATGAAAATAAATAGAAATGTAGCCTTAAACTCATCAAATTATTTTCAAGTTCTCTGGATCTGCAACTTGTGTAGCATTGATTCTAAAAATATTAAATTTCTGAATTAATTTTAGGCTTAAGTTTTTAATAAAATTTTATCTTTTATTATTTTTACGGTCCTATATCTAAAAAAGCAAATTTTTATTCCATGTCAACATTACAGAAGGATTCTTGTCAACTCACTGGTGTCCATTGTAAGGGCAATATAAAAAGTGGGGGGAATTTTTATACCAGTGTCAGATAATAGAATCTTCTTTTAAAAAGGGGGTGTTTGGTTACTGGTAGTTAACTAAATACATACATAGCTGGCTAATGTCAATGCTATTGCTAACCCTGTCCCTAACCCCAAACCTAGTCCTACCATACGCCTAACCCTAATTTCTAACCATAAATTAGTCGAGATTACAATACTACTAACAATCCAACACGCCTATTTTATGGATGAGTCTATTATCGGACATTGGTATCTAAAATCATCCAAAAAATTCCTTAAAGCACTAAAGGTCTTCAATACAAAATTGCCAGGCTTTTTTAAAAGGCTTTTTTAAAGTTTTCTTTGGGATAACACATAACATAAGTTGTTTCTTTATCTAGTAGCACTTAAGCTTTAAAACTCACATATGAAGCAAGTTAAGAAGACTTTAACATCCAAGAACTATTTTATAGTTTTAAAGTTTTACTTTTTCTTATTTATAGTCAACAGCAAGTACAATGACTATGCTTATTTATTGATATGCAAGTTGACATATAACAAATGGCCTGTATTAACTTATTAAGGGTTTTTCCCTTCATGAAAAATTTCATGTTAAAAAACTATTGGAGGTAGAAAGATAATTTTTGTTTTGTTTCATATAGGTGAGTTCTACAAGAATATATAGTTTTTATTTTTGTATGGATATTTTTATTTCTAAAATCCCTAACATAATCAAATATCAGGCCTAAATATCTATCAAAATAATTGATAATATAATAAAAGTGTGCTTGAAGTTATTTTATAGCTACATTTTTTGAATCATATTATGTCCTAATGTAAAGTATTCCATTGTAAAGTATTTTTATTATAATTAGGCCTAATAATTATAAGATAACAAACCACAAAAAAATTAGGCCCAAGATGACCATAGGAACTAAAATTGTTCATTTAAAAAAACTGAGCATATCTAACCTAGGTCATTGTTTAACGTATTTGCTACTGAGTACTAAAGTCTTCTTCAGAAACCTTACCCATATAATAAATTAAGGGAGAACAACCCCCAACAACTCTAATTTAAAATTATTTTAAAAACGAGATAAATGGCCAGTTGAGGGAGAGATACAACGGGCGCTAGGTTGATAGTGTTGTCTTTTTTTCTCTAAACCAAAATTAAAATTACTAACTCAACCCCCCTCCCTTCCCCCCTTCTCAGTACCCACCCCGAAGCAAGTCCCCATTATCGAAATACAACGTATATAGAAAATATTACTTTTACCAGGGTTCAACCCCTCCCAGAAAATTTAGTCCACCCCTACCCCCGAATATTTCAAGTACATCTCCCCCCCCCCCCCCACTCTCCGGGGAGGAAAAATCTGAAATCTGCCCCTACCCTAAGAGATGCATGAAAGAAACTCTGCAAGCAAACCACTTTTAAGATTAGACACATGAATCAGGCGGCAATTTTTTTTTTAGAGTATCGATGACGTCGTTTCTTTTGAGTTGGGGGGGGGGGGGGGGCCTACCCGAAGAATTGCTTGAAAGAAACTTTTCACGCAAACCACTTCTAAGATTAGATGAAATTGGCTTTTCAATTCAATGTTTACTGGAGAATCAATGACGTCATATTATTGTGTGCACTCCCCCGGCTTTAGACTATTTCCTACTAAATGCTCCATGTGACATCACGTTTCGTTTTCGTTTTACTATGAAAGTTTTTACTCTGCTTGTGTTTTCTCCATAGCGTTCTTGACAGATAGATAGATACACAGACAGACAGCGAAACTATTGTCATAGATGTGTTTATTGTTAGCTTAATTATTTTTTTAAAATCCCAAAATGTACTTTTTAAATAAAGTAATATTTATCTCAAAGAAAGTATATAATTTTATATGTTTTTCTAGCAGTATTTACTATTTAGTGCTAATTAGTGAGGCAAGTATGTGATTGGAATCTGCCTAAGAGCGCCAAAGCATTTAATTTAAAAAAAATTATGATTCCACTACAGACTCTATTAATTCTAATAGATTAAATATCTAACTTAATATAGAATCAATTGAATTATCTGATGTTGTAAAATAAATTGAGAACTATGATAATGTAGAAGCGACCATTTACCAATTTACCATAAAAAATACTAGAATGTTTTTTTCTTTTTTTTTTGAGGGTGGAGGGGGGGGGGGACTAAGTAAGGATTACTGTTGCGTTCTCTATGAGGCAATGTATTTGTTACTCAATATTTAGTATTTTGTATTGTAAGAATCCAGCAGGAAGCCGCACACATCTTAAATTCAAGGAAATAAGCACTTTGCACTAATAAAATTTCATTTAGTGAAAGAATGTTTCAGAAAATTCAATTTTGGTCATTTTTTGAAGTGTCAACAAGATAATAATTAAGGATTTTAAACATTATAAAGGTTGATTTTGCTTAGTGTCTATTTAGGCATCTAATTTCAACTCAAGTATTTGCATTTCTAATGAAGCATCAGGACTTGACAGCATTATATAGAGCTGCTTATTTCATCTGGTATCACATTGTTGGTTGGCATCATAATCAAGGCTAATTTTAGGATTGTTTAAATGGAAGAGTTATTTGAATTATGTCCTCATTTTAAAGCAGCATTTTAAGGTAGTTATAATGCTACTATAAGTTATCATTTTCAAAGACCGTCCTGCAAAATGTTAGTACATTGTTTTGCAAAGTTATGTTGTTTATATAGAATACTGCTTATTGTAAACTAACAACCTGTGGCAACCCTAGATGATGAAAGCAAATTCAATTTCAATTAGTATTTCAAAAAGCCCTTTTATTATACTTAAATTCACAACTATCCTTACATAAATTTTTTATAGATCAAGTTGTCTTTGGGAAGTTTAGAATATATTATAATTAGCACAATTTTTATTAAAGCTGAAACTAGTTATTATTTTTTAATATTTAACTGATTTTCCTGTATATATTTTCAGAGCTTTTTCGGCTTTGGGCAGAGTGCAGAGATTGATATAGTTTTAGATGGGCAGGAAAATCGAAGGACAGCAGAAATTAAAACTGAGGATGGGAAAAGAGAAAAGCACTATCTTTATTTTGATGGTGAAACTGTTTCAGGAAAGGTTTGTATTTTTTACCAGTTTAAGCAAACCTTATATTTCTCAAAATTAACATATTTTACAGGTTATGAATAGTGCAGGATACAAAATTGTACTTTTGTCTAGGATTTAGATGTAAGAATTTTTTTCAGTGGGCCCTCAGGCTATATAAAAATTAAAGTTTAACATAGTTTTTGTAGATGACCTTAGTTTGTCCATATATCTTTATATTTAGAGAGCATTGGTCGTAGATGTACTGTAATTAGACTTGCAGGACTGGCTTCTTGTATGATTTTTGCTGTATTTTTTGTAAGTGTAACAACATGAATTCTTTGTTGTTGTGGGTTAATTTTCATACAGGAACACGAGCGATAGTGGCAACTTCAAATGACAACTTTATTTACACTATATACAGTGAAAATGACAAATCCGTGGTAAATCCATAGTAGAAGAACAACTGGTATATGTAACAATCACAATCACGACTCCAAGTGACATGGAGACATCTTCCATTCACTGCCACAGTTTAAGTCCCCAAGTCCTAGCACACAACACCCGTTCACCTTTTTGCTCTCCCTTTTATACGGTCCATTCTCTCCCCTTCCGTACATGAGCAATCTCACCCAAAAACATGAAAAAACACATGACGATCGCTCAGACAGTCCTTCCGCTAGCCAGGTACTCTTCATTCATGCAAAACACAATATAATAAAGATACATAATAATACAGTCTGTGACACGTCCCCCCTTCGAATAAAATTTTGTGTAACAAAATTTATAAATACAATATTAGTAGGGCAGGATCATGTGCCAGACAACAAAATTTATAAATACAGTATTGGTAGGGCAGGATCATGTGCCAGACAACAAAAAATTGTGTACAATTCAAAGTAGAGTAAAATATATTCATTTTAGACTAAGCACTTGTAGTCATAAATTTATAGTGCATACAAATACAACAGTATGTAGTGACTATATCAGTGATAATTAAAATATGTCAGTGTTTTGAACAAAAACTTTAAATGTACAAGCATTATATGTAATATTTAATGCATCAATATACATTCACATAGGAGAAAAAAAACATTTCAATTACCCAGTAACTGTAGTATAAACAAGACAAATGAGTGTAATAAATTACCAAACCAGTCTGGTACATGACTTAATTACCAAAACATAATACATAGTTGAAATTATCAAAGACTTAATTCAACTCATAATTTAAATAACTATATCCTATGTGGTAAAAAAAAACTTCCTTATCATCAAGGTATGTTATTACCACGCATGAGTAATATACTTTGTTGTCTCCCCTAGTCGACCCATTTCAGTCATATCTAGGTCACAACACAACCACATTCCTGCCTTTCACAGGTATGACTAATACACAATTCATCATTGAGACTTCCGTCTTATTGTTATGCAGAATAAATAGTCTCTAACTTTTACTTTATACATTATTCCCTGTTAATTAATAGTATAGAATAGGTTTAACATAATACAGTTTACATTCTTTAGATATAGTACACAATTTATGTTTACTCAAACACATTATTTGATATTTATATATTACAGTTACAGACTGTATAATATTAATAAACTGTCAATTGATAATTTATCTTAGCATCCTCTATAGCATGAGTAATCGTTCTCGTGCAGTTGACGATGACCTGTATGCCATCTCTCCCTCAAATTGTAGCTTTTAGCTTTGCTACCATAATCATTTCCTAGATTTCGTGTAACTTGTGTTACTTCATTTGTTTTAATATTCTCCTCTGGTTTCTGAACAACGTCAGTAGTTATCTTGCTTTGTTTACGTTCGTTTGGTTCATCAACCAACTTAATATAAATATTATGGCATTGCTTTGGCCTCTCATAATATGTGTTGCGTCGGTAACTTCCATTAGTATACCTATTCACACTTTTGTTATTCTGATTTGAACTTGGTACATTATTTCTTAAATTACTGTATTTCTCACATGACTTTCTGTGTACATAATTGTTTCTTCTCTGACTTGCCAACCTATGCCAACATTGGTTTTGGTAATGACCTGTTTTTCCGCAGTAAAAACATCTAGATTTGGGCTTCTTATAAACATGGTGACTGTATTCATAGTTTGCTAAATTTCTTTTTCTTTCATTCTGTGCATTAATGACATTAATGACATTTTTATTAACATGGTGACTGTATTCATAGTTTGATACGTTTCTTTTACTATCAGTTTGTAATTTATTGACATTGTAGTTTCTAGATATTGTTTCATCTTTCTTAACTTCCTTGTGTTTCTTTATTGATTCTAATTCACACACAAATTTCTGTGTTAATTTCTCCATTTCTTTGTTAAATTTATTCTTGAGTTCTAGTATATCTTCTTTATAGTTTGATTCCAGATTTCTAAGTAACTCCTCAATAGGTACGTTCTCTTCATTGTGGCTTATTAAGTTCACTGATTCATTAATCATCATCAGTTTATCATGATTCCTGCCATTCTCCGATGGACTTATTAAATCATCACTGCCATTCACTGATGGGCTTATTTTTTGTTGATTGCCATTCTCTGATGGACTTACGATACAACTTTCAATAATATTCTCGTGTACCTGTGTATCATTCAATAAAGAGTCAATCTTAAGACATTCTAATGTATCTGTCACCTTTAAATCATTAGTAAGTTCACCCTCTGTTTTATCCTTGGGTATCAATTCTTCCTGGACTATGTTACTTAGTTCTTCATTCCAAAGGTTGCCAATATTTACTTCTTCAAGTTCTGCTTTAAATTCTGTCTGTTCACTTTCTAATTTTGGTTCATTTGTGTCTGTTATAGCTTTCATTTCTAATAGTTCTTGTTCATATGCTAGTTCATGTAGGCCTACTTGTTTTTCCATAGTTTCAGCCCTATTATCTGCTCTCTGTTTTCTGTTTTCTGTTTCTTTTTTTTTTCTTTCCTTTTGGTTGTACAGTCTCCTCTGCTTTATCTACTTCTGAAATGTCTTCTTCTTTATGCATGTCTGTAATAGCTCTTGATCTATTACACACTATTTCTATCACATCATCTAGTTCTCTCAATACATTTCCATGAGCTTGTCGGGGTTTGGTCTGTTTCTTCGTCCCATGCTTCTTTTGCTTCTTCTATGTCTCGGTCAAATCGAGTGTTTGCCCAGGCTATCTGCTTCTTCATCTTCTTAATGCCTTGCGCCCTCGCTAGTGCTAGATATTCTTCAAAACATAACATTTTGATATATTTTCTATTTATGACATAAAATATAAATTCATAAGTTGACAATAGATAAATGTTAATTAATTTACAATACCCTTTCTTGGTTTCTGGCTTGTTTTAGTTGATTACAGACATCTGGTAATCCAAGAAAAGTTCATAGTACATATATACGTCCAAAAATAGTTCACTTTGTTGATTCCAAAAAGTTGAAAAAATTCAAAATAGTTCTAGTAGCCTGTTAGAGAGTAGAAATTTGTCCAGTTTTAGATAAGACATCTTTAGGAACAGTTTACAATTAATAAACTAGATCTGCTCATCCACAGTAGAAGAACTTGAACAGCTAATCCATATAGAAAAAACTTGAACAGTTGATATATACCAGCGTTGTTCACTGGCAAACAGTGTAAGACCACTTCAAAAACGTTGAAAACTGCTTACAATAATAATGTGACATCACGTCCACTTCAGCCAACAAAGTAACAAACGTTGACCATCTCTGACAATAATGTATCAGCTTCTTCAATCACCTGACTCCAATGTATCAACACGTCTGATAATAATGTAGAAACACTTCTTCAATTGCTTCTGACAATATACTGAATATAGCAACTGGTGTTGCCCCACTTCTGACACCATATGTAACAACATGAATTTTTTGTTGTTGTGGGTTAATTTTCATACAGGAACACGAGCGATAGTGGCAACTTCAAATGACAACTTTATTTACACTATATACAGTGAAAATGACAAATCCGTGGTAAATCCATAGTAGAAGAACAACTGGTATATGTAACAATCACAATCACGACTCCAAGTGACATGGAGACATCTTCCATTCACTGCCACAGTTTAAGTCCCCAAGTCCTAGCACACAACACCCGTTCACCTTTTTGCTCTCCCTTTTATACGGTCCATTCTCTCCCCTTCCGTACATGAGCGATCTCACCCAAAAACATGAAAAAACACATGACGATCGCTCAGACAGTCCTTCCGCTAGCCAGGTACTCTTCATTCATGCAAAACACAATATAATAAAGATACATAATAATACAGTCTGTGACAGTAAGTTTTGCCTTCTGCAAAAACCTAATGAGGAAAAATAATTGAAAAATTGAATAACATTTTAAAAAGCTTCAAACCATGGATTTTACTCTAAAAAAATTGTAAGTGCATATTGAGTATATTTATGGTAACTTCCTTGATCCTGATATAGTTGTTTACATTTGGTCAATTAAATATCAACTTTATTGCTGATGTTATCAATTAAAAGACTGATTATGCATGGACTCAGTTTATCTCTAGATCTGCAGGTGGAGGTTGTTCTTGATTATCTCTTAAAACAATAAAAATAAGCTTTTACAAATCATTTGGTCCAGTATTTTAAAAAATGTGTTTTAATAGACATGAAAAGCTGGTTCCAAATGGTTCCAAATTTTTCTTGCCAGAAAACAAATTCTTCAACCAAAATCTAATATTTTATAACATTTGTGTAATAAGTACAAAATTACTCCCGGTTTCATTAAGGCTAGAAATAGTCAAAGAAATAATTACAACTAATATAGTAGTAATTTAGCAAACACTTTTATTTTTAATTTGGATTAGTAGAGTCAGGGTGTTGTGGTGATTGGGGATGTTATATTATTTAATACGAGCCGACCCGTGGCATATCATACGCCGCTATTTAGTTGTTTTATTTTCTATTTTTCAGTAATTCATAATTTGTGAATTCGACAGTACCAACGCTGCCACTGAAAATATTTGCTTTAAAACACTATCAGTCAGTAGCTCGTTAAGGACGATAACCCCCCTCCTCCCCCCTCCCCCCCGTGAAAGTAAACTCCTCTTAGTTACCTCCCCTAAGTTTAAAATCGTTTAAACTAAATTATCTGCCCCTAATTCTACGATTGTAAACATTTAGTGTGAACCACAGCTCACCAGACCATGTAGGGGTGGGGGGTGTTTACTATTGTCTCCAAGAAGAGAATTATATATATACAATACAACACTATTCACCATAGATCACTATTGTGTATTTTTATCATTGAGAACAATTGTCCTGACTTTCATTGTTTTACTGTCCCTGGCCATTCCGGTTGACTTCAAGGAGAGGTTAGGGGCAGTTTTTGAAAACGGCTTTTCAACGGCTTATATTTGACACAAAATTATAAAAATGAGTGTAATCAATGGTTCCCAAATGGCTTTAATTTTTACAAATGTAACTATAATTTTATCTCTTGCCATATTTTTAAAAGATTTTTTCAAAAATTTAGTATGATTACAAAGACTTTTCCTACTTATTAGTCAATTTAAAAAATGACACCATCATGTCCAGAATAATATATTCTCCCAATTAGGTGATAATTAACAATTTTCTTTTAGGTATTTTAAATTATATTAAATAATACTTTTCACAAATTTCTGTTTGCACATAATTATATAGTTTTTTTTGTTTAATGAATGACACAATGTTACACAACTACAAACCAATAATCATTATTATGGAAAATCAAATGTATTTGTCACTGAAATTATTTTTATGTGCATGCAGTCGTGCCTTATTTATATTTAGTACACGTTCCAAGTACGTTGTAAGGTGTGTTTATAAAGCAGTAAATCTAATTTCTTTTTTAAATGCTTATTTTTTCTTTTTCTTTAGTCACAGTAGGTTTTTTTCATTTGTGTTTATTTGTTCAATATGCATTATCTGACCATCTTTCAGGTTAATATAACATTAAGAAAAAGTGGTAGTAAACTAGAGCATCAAGGAATCAAAATTGAATTCATTGGTCAAATAGGTAAGCTCTAACTTTGTATTATACATAAAAAAAATGAAATTAAGTATCTGTATAGATTTAGTTTCTTCTCACTTAAACAAAATATTTTATTATTTAATAAAGTTTATTCATGAGATATATGAAATATTATAGTAGTATTTTTCTCTTGTGGTTTCTTCCAGAATTGTACTATGACCGGGGAAACCACCAAGAATTCACCTCGCTGGTTAAGGAGCTGGCCCGTCCTGGAGAACTCACTCAGAGCACGAGTTACAATTTTGAGTTTTCACAAGTAGAAAAACCATATGAGTCTTACACAGGAGCAAATGTTAGATTACGGTAGGCTTTTTTTTTTCTTATGAATCAGTACCTTTTTCTATAGATACTATATCCATTTCAAATTGCATATGACTTATAAACAAATGTGAACATACTATTGTTGTTCCAGATATTTCTTACGGGTGACAATTGTAAAACGTATAACAGACACAGTAAAAGAGCAAGATATTGTTGTTCACACATTGTCACAGTACCCAGAAATGAACTCCAGTATCAAGATGGAAGTTGGAATTGAGGATTGTTTACACATTGAATTTGAATACAATAAATCCAAGTAAGACAATATATATCAATTATGTACACATTAAAACTGTTCCTCTTTTTAAAAAAAGCAGTTAAGTCAGTGGAAAAAAAAGATACCAATATACATTTATTATGATGAAAGAAACAATTTGTAACATAGGAATCACCTGGTGACATAAAAATGTTATCATCAAAACTCCATTGTTCTGAAGTTAAAAAAAAATCAAAAAGTTAACATTTTTATTCTAAAGATATTGTAACACCTGTCAGAAATGGGAAGCAATTTTTTTACATTACTGATATTCAATTGCATTACATTTTATTGCACTTGGCATGGATAAAGATACCACTTAAAAGATGTGATTGTTGGTAAGATCTATTTTCTGCTGGTGAGGATCAAAATTAGATACATGGAACTGGCAATAGTTAGGAGAGAAACAACTGGGGCAGGTAAAGAGTGAAGCTTTGAGCAAGGTTGTATGTATATGTCAACAGTTCATTTACAATCTGTGCTTTTGATATATTATTTTGTTAGTATTTATTGTTTAAATATGCTTATTGTTGTTTCAAACATCTCTGAGGTATTTTGAACTAAAATCTTTAAAAATTTAAAACATTACTATTAATACAGTTATTAAAAAAATAAAATATAAATGCTTCTCCCAGTTGAGTTAAATGATTACTGTTAAGAATTGTTCAAAAACTGAAATCACCTTACCAATTCCATAAGAGACTATTTTTGCATTTTTAGTTGTCAGTGTTCACTAGATGTCTTTTACCTCCTTCTATGTCAAGCATTTTTAGAGTAGATCTTTCATTGTTGCATAATAAATATTTGTAGCCTTATACATGTGTAGACACAAGATACAAGACACAATATTTCAAGGTTTCTACAGTCTTTTAATTACAAATTATCCACTTCTATTCTGATCTTAAAGTTATAGCATAGTTTGATTTACTTTTTCATTTATCTCTATTTTTACTCTCCTCTTTTACAAATATAGAGAAATTATTTCAATAACCTTGAGCAAAATGAAAGTACATTTAAACATTTTTAAATCGTCTATCACTTTAGATTTTGATCATACTCATCTTTCCCTTTTCTCCCAAATGTCTATTTAGAGTATGTTCAAAGCTATAATTTCTATGGCTTAAACATTCATTTCTGTGGGCATTATTAAAGCCATTTTTCTTGTTGCTATTTCTTTAAAAAAATCTAAAAAAAATCTAACACTATGCAAAGCTCTTTCAATTTTCTCTAATGGACCAGCTATTTCTATTGATCTGTAAGCTTCTTTTTATAATCGATTTTAATTGTTAGCTGGTTTAATTATTCCATATTAGAGGCAGACTTAGATAATAAGAATCCTTTGCTATTTCTTGGTAGTAATTTTACGAACACATTCACAGTTTATCAAAGTAATGCCAAAAATATTGAAATTTCTATGAATCTCTGATTTTGTCTAGTTGCCTCTAAAGTTCTAAATTGAAGTATAACCTCTAGGGTTTATATGTATATATGTATATATTCAAATATATACAGACTTGTAAAAATATTATTTGGTTTCCAGATACCATTTAAAAGATGTCATAGTTGGTAAGATTTACTTCTTGTTGGTGCGAATCAAAATCAAGCACATGGAACTTCAAGTGATAAAACGCGAGACTACTGGCACAGGTACTTTTACACTGACAGGTACACACATACACACAAACATGCACAAGCATTGATAGGCACATTGTTCTGGACTGGTTATTTCAAGGAAAACTTCTCTGCTTTACCCAATGGTTTGCTGTTTTTTATTTATTGCTCTCATTGTCTGGCTTAATTTCCATAGCTTAGTTCTTGCATGAAAAGAATATTTCTTTTACCTTGTAGTAATGTAAAATTTATAAAAAATTAAAAAAAAAACTTTTTTTTTGCATTATGCTAGAGGTTTTACAAACTGTATGAAATTTTAAATATAGTGTGATTTGTAACTCTATTCAGCATAGCATGCTTAAATGTTTTTCTTCTATGCTTTAACATTGTGCTTTTAAGTTACATTTTAAAAACCATTTTAATCAACCATAATTATTAGTACATTAAAAAAAAAAATAGTTTATGTGTACTTATTACAGGACAGCATAAAAGAAACAAACGTGGTAATAAGAAAAAAATGTTTTTATAAGTTTGTTTTTGTCTTTTCAAATCCAAATTAGATCTATATAATTTAAATCAAAGAGCAAGTCATTATTTAAAATAAAAATTTTACAAATTATTTTTAGTTCTAAAACATTAGACAATTAGGCCTAAATTTTTAAATTGCTGAAATATGTGCTGCTTTAGCATTTTTACAGTATCTAATTAAAAGAGAATGCCAATATTACTTTGATTTTGAAATAACACAACCAACATCAATGATCATTCTGTATCTTGTATTTCAGAACCAAATTTAATGAGTCAGTTTTCTTTAATGTTTGTGTCATTTGATAAATATTTGAGTTTTTGCTTCAGCTTTATTGTATTTTGTATTTAAGCCCTTTGATGAATATCAAAAAGTTACATTTGATTATATGACTAAAGCTTGATGATTTTTTTGAACTAACGTGTTTATTTAAAAAATTTTTTAGCTTTCTTTAACAATTTAAAGAATAACACTTTTAAATACTATTACTTATGTTTTATTCAATATGTTGAAAGAGGATAATGTTTAAAAGCTTCAAGAAGTTAGTCTCAGGCTGCAATGTCTTAGAAGATTTTTTGTTTGTATTAAAATAATTCAAACACTAAATAGTAAAACCTATTAATCAATAATTGCAGGCCCAAATACATTCAATGAGAATGAAACTATAGCCAAATATGAAATAATGGATGGTGCACCAGTTAGAGGTGGGTATTTTGTTCAGTCTCAAATTGGTATTCTGTGAAGAAAGAGAGAAGTGGTTATGAAAAAAGTATAGTTGAGCTTTTAAAGTGCCACTTAAAAAAATATACTGTATTTTGCTTAAAATGGGCTGAAATTATAATAATGTGTGTCCAGGTGAATCAATACCCATTCGACTTTTCTTAAGTGGATATGAGCTGACTCCAACAATGAGAGACATTAACAAGAAATTCTCTGTTCGATACTACCTGAATCTTGTGTTAGTTGATGAAGAAGAGCGCCGCTACTTTAAACAACAGGTATCCTCTTGTTTTCAATACATATATATTGTTTTTAGTTTTATGTCAGTTTTAAGCAAACTTTTTTTAAAGCTATAAGAAAAAGTTTGAGAAAGAATGGTTAGAATAGTAAGATTTGTTTTTTTAAATAGATTTTAATGTGTAATAACATTTTTTTTGTAGGAGATCACTATCTTCAGAAGGGCTGACAAGATAAGAAAGAATTATCAAGCTGCTCTTTCACATCACAATCCCTCATTATTATCTGATGGTGGGGGCAGCAGCAAAACTTCCTACCAACAACATCAAGAAGACAATGAAGAGGATGAAGTCAAGGAAGAGGAAAAGGAGCAGAAAGAAAAATGATAGTTATTACTAACTAATTGTATGTGCAGATTTTGTTTGTTGTCATGCTCAAAAGGTTTCATTCTCTAAGTAACATATTCTGGACCCAAAGCTGTTATTTAGACTATTTTAAATTAACTAAATTATTTTGATACTGATATTATTTTGACATGGGCCAAGAGCTAGTTGCATAGAAATATTTCACTGAAATTTTAAAAATATAACACAACTTGGTTTTAATACATTACACTGCTCTAAAAATAGTAACAACTTTCAATATATTTTGTAGCCTTTAAAAAATATTTGTAGTATTTAAAAATGTTTGAGTACTGAACAAAATGTTTCCACTCAATGGGTTTTGTGTAGAAATAGTCATAACTGTAATGAAGTATTTTATGATCATGTGTGTGAGTGTAAAAAGAAGCTGAATGTGTAACTCAAGCTGCTGAATGCTTGTGTAACTTAATTGCAAGATGAGAGCATGAAGTCAATTATCTGCTTGTCCTGTACTTTATAAGTATGTTTCTTTATTACTGTTCAGATAACTAGCTGTGGAACAGGAGTAGCAGCACAGCTAGTATTTTCTATCAAATATTTCACATTCTGTTTGTGATATATCCTTTTTCTTTTCTGACTTGTGATGCATAGTGAATTTTTTTTTTTACATTTTATGTTTTTAAGCTGTCATTTTTAAGTATTATGAACAAGAGACATTTTGCAATATATTCTAACAAGTTACCCAATATGAAATTGACTAAAAGTAAACAAGTTTTAATGATGTTTTGTGTCTTTTACTAATATTTGACTTCAATATTCAGTATCGTGGGTTGATGCTGTTGCTGCATTCGGCCAACAGAATAATCACACACTTTTCTAAATCTTGAATGAAGTCTCTCTTACATTCATCTGAGCCTCGTTGGCTATTTCTTCTTCACCACATTTGCTATGTGTAAAGGTATGAGTAGCACTATATAATGTGCACAGCAGCTGGGATTAACTGTTATCTTTGCCACACATACAGTGGTTGTTTAATGATAGATAACTTCTCTTGCAACAAGGTTAACAACTTGTGTACTAAAAACAATTTATTTTAATAAGCAGCTTACCCATGTATTGGCCCAAGTGTATATTAAAATATTTTTTTAATCTTCTTGTTATTGTGCTTTTGTTAAAATTTGTTTCCGCTACCAATCCTGTTTTCTGTGAAGCAAGAAATGTTGTTTAAGCAGATAGTAAGTGATCTGTTGCAAAAGGTATCAATGTTAGCTGCATCCTTTAATTTTTTTTTATTGTAAAAAAAGATATGTAATTACTTTTCCATGTGACTAATGAAGCATTAGATGAATGAATCATGCTTTTAAAATGTCCAACAACACAGAATTAGTCTATTTTATTCTGTTGAATGATAGTTTTGTTTTAATGAACATAGATGAAATATTTTGTTTAGGCCAATGATTATGCATTGATAGCAAACTAACAAATACTAGAATTGATGATTGAGTGTATGAAAAGGTTCTTTCTCTTTCTAAAGGTTATTGTTGTGTATCTTGGAAGAGTAGCTGACATCAATTATGTGATATTTTGTGTTGTAAGCTATTTAATTTTTTAAATTTATTAAGATTACTTTTTTTAAAATTCTTGAGGTATCTCAAATACTTTATTATAAATGGATTAAAATAAATTAAAACAAATAAATACTTATTCATTTATTTTGCTAAATATATTTTTCATGTAAAATGTAAATGAGACATTATGCTCATCATAAAACAGTAGAAGTAAAAAAACATTTAGCTCATTGATGAAGTTTTCCTACTCTTTGTTGTATTTAGTAGTATAAATTTAGCTTTTCCATTGGCATAGTTCTGAATGTGTTGTGTAATAGGTCCCCCATTCCATCACTTAAATGAATGAACCTAAATTTTTGTACATACATGTAATATTATTGCATTTATTTTGGAAAAATTGTTGGCACAGAGTAATGACCATGTATTGTTGTTAATGTTGATAAACTGTAGTTTTCATGCCCTCAGCTGCTTCAGTGTGTAAGTTCAATTTGAAGTGAGTACGGCATATTTTTGTTGGATCAAAATGCAACTAACACTTTGAAGTCTGTTCACTCCATGAAGTCATACTTCAAGGTTTCTGATAGCTGTTGTTTCACTGACAAAAAGTACTTTGGAAACAATTATATGTCCTTAAAAATATGGTTTTGGTTTCCTTTGTTTCAGTTGAACCAAAATTGATGTGATATGTTCAATTTGTCTGTCAGTTGTAGTTCACATATTGTAGTATTATGTATAGTTAGTTCTATCAGGATCCTAACAAATTTTTTAAGAGCAGTTAAACAATATACTTTCATCAAATGAAGCCCATGTACATTCCAGACAAGTCTCAATATGGAAATTTGCCCCAACATTTTTGTTATTATTTGCACTACTGATCAAGACCAACATATTAATCTGTATTGCAAGTGGTCTTTCTCCTTTCCCCCTAGAATCAACTTTTGAGTAGTAATGGACACTAAAACACATATTTTACTTGTTATCTATATAATTAATGAACACTTAGTAAACATTGATAAATTTGCATGGTAGTATTGGAAATGTTTTTTTTTTGTATGGGAATTTTTCAAGCCCTGTTGAATAAATGCAACTTTGGAAAGAATGTCAGAACTCTTCTGTGCAATAAAGCGACAAATAACCTATGCTGCTTTGTTGTTCTTTAAAAAACTGGTTTTCATTCATTCTTAAGCTTTACAATTTAAAGGATAAACAATTATTTGACTTGCATTCTTTACTTTTTTAGAATCTGTTAAACATTTCTTCTCATAACCAGACAACTTATTTACTAAATACCATTTATAGAATTATAGCGAAAATACAAAATTTATAGATTATGAATTATGACACCAGCACAAATATTGTAATACAAAACAATTAAACAAAAAAAAAATGTAATTTTTTTCAGTTAACTGCATCCCAGTTTATTGTTCCCCTCATTCTTATATTTAACAAAAACAATTATCAAAATTAAATCCACATTTAAATTGTGTTAATCATAAGTTAAAGATAAAAAAATCCCACCACATCAGATCCAGCTTGGTGATCTAACAGGAAGCACTGTTTCAAACAGCTTCAACAGAATCAACAATTTATCAGTGGAAATTATAAGCAATTTAAATCTAATTTGAATTGGACCAGATGCTGGTCATCACAATAGCAAGAATAATATGCACAAAATACAACATGTGGTCCCCAAAACTGAATATCTATTTCAGGAATGACAAAGTTTATTTTGAAAATAAAATTTAAAAAAGATGAGGTCTTTAGATATGAAAATAAGTTTAGAGTCTATTACCAAACCCACCTAAGACAAGTAACTATTCATCAACATACTAAAATACAAAGAACCAAACCTAAATAAATAAAACTCATTCTGTCTATTGGCATTCTTTTGATTTCCCTTAATAATAACATAGCTTTTCAATTCTAAAAAATATCAACCACTCTGAAACAAATAAAACAGCAATGTACATTATTCTAGTCTACTACACTCAATAAAATAACTTGATCACCAGAATAGCAAACCATAAATGGTCTCCAAAAAGCTAGAATTTGTGTTATAAACTCCTTGATACAAGAACTTAGAGGAAAATAAAGACATTGCCAAATGTTAAAAAATGCATGGTTAAATTACTTTCTTGAGTAGTTGAAACGGAAACCTAACTTCAACAAACATTTGAAGAACATACATTTTAAACACTTGCAGTGAAATTTTGGCATTACAATCATTTTTCCAAAATTGAAAAGCTAATGTCTAAACAGATGATGTGAGTAAATTAATTTTTTTGGTTTATTATTCATTGCATGATCATTATGAGTGACATGAAAGCAATAAATAAAATAAAGTATACACAACTGAAAATGTCTGTTACTAAAAAAAAATATTAAGGAAGACCCCATCAAAAATACAAAACAGAAATAAAAAAAAATACAATTTATTACAAAGCATATTTACAATTCTTTCTTAAAAATTTTTCATGTATTTCATGCTTCATCCTGTTCAGGTGTCAACTTTGTATACATAGTATCTTAAAAATACAATAGATGAAAACAAACTGTCATTTTAGCTCTATTTTAACATTATTCACCATAGAACATACTTAATTTGTCTATGTTTAGTTGAAGAGTAAGTTAAAGGTCACATTAATTTGTGTTCTGGATGTTCTTTTAGATGGTTGAACTTTGTTAATAACTCCTTTCAAGATGTGTTAATTGAATAGGTTTATGTAATTTAACAAAGTTAATACAGAAAAGGCATTTTTGCATAATTGTTCAAAAATATAATTCTAATAATTCTATTTATAAATTTTAAAATGTTATTAGCTCCCTTGCTTTAACACTGTGGGTTTGTTGTCTTCCCCTAATTCTATAAGCAGAGGGGGTTTAAATGACTTATCTTTCACAATGCTTTCCAAGTCCTGTAAATTAAAATTGAAATTCAATTTTAAAAAATGAAGCAAACATAACACAAATAAGATAATCAATGCAATTTTGGATATAACTTGCCTCTCCATAATAAGAAACTAAAGGAGAAACTTCACAAACAATAGTGTCTTCCTCATCCTGACTTTGTTGACTGTAAGAAAAATAATAAATTACAAAATTTAAGGAAAATAAATAACCAGTTATAACTTATAAACCTTTAAAAAAATATAATGAGCTACAAAATGTTAACAAAATGTATTGTACTATATTACTTTTTTACGACAAAATACACATATTTCTATTTTAAATCTCACATTTTAGTCTAAATTATTTTAAGTACTTCTCCAAGACAATGAAATTATATTTAGTCACATTAATACATCTGGATTCTCAACAAACTTAAACAATTAACAGTAATACAACATAGTTTGAATTTCAAGGCAACTGTGTTTAAATTATTGATACCAAAGTAAAAAAAATGGCAGCTCAATGTCAGCTTACAATAACAGACTGGAAACATTACTCACCAATTGTTACCATTTTCTTTATTGTTATTGTTTCTGAAGAAGCAACAAAGTAGACAACATTTCATGCTCATGCAAAAACATATTGTTTTAGAATAATCAGTTGAGTTTACTCAGTATTAGTTGATTTAGTTTTTTAAACGTTATGAATATCATTAGGACATACAGATAAAAATGTTATTACATACAATGAAAACAATTGTTTGGGGAATTATAATAACTTTATATTTTTGTCTATTTGATAATAAAACGGCTAGTGTTTAATTTATGGAAGTTTTTCATAATTCTGATAATTCAGATGTTTTCTTACAACACAGAAACACAAAAGAAAAAGATTGTTACATATAGAACAAAAAGGTGTTGAGAAGGATATCAAACAATTTTGTTTGGTACATCTCCAAACAAATACCTTTTGTAAAACAATTTTTTTTAAATTGAATAAAAATATTAAATTAAAGATTTTAGAAAAATTTTAAATTGGTCATATTTTAAACTGATTAAATTATAGTTTCACAATATATTTACTAGATCTATCTAGCATTCAACAGCAAATTTCTAGCTAAGTAGGGGCAGATTGGGTATATTATGTGATTAGAGCTGGTAGGGTAGTACAACACAAAAAGCTTATTCACATTAGTGAAAAAATAAAAAAATAAAATAGAATCATAGACTAACCTCTGTATGTCTGTGTAAAGTGTACCATCAGAGTGGACAAACTTTCCACCTGCAGCCAGCACAAACCGGTGATGTAAGCTCATTAGGTCATTGCGACATGTGGTGGGTGTGTCTTTTGGCTGCCCATCTGCATTTTTCAAGGGAGAAAACTCATTCTCCCTAAGCACTTCCCAGACAGCAAAATTCCTAGCACATTTGAAACACAGACACAGACAAAAAGCCAGCACAAACACAAGGGTGGGTTTTTGAAGACGGGTCAGGGTTTGATTTAAATTAGATAATCCATTAAACATATGTTAAGTAATAAAATATTTAATCCAAGGAGTTTTCAAAAATTATTTAAAATAAATATTAAAATTGTACACAAAGATATAAAATGCATTACATTTATATTTTTTAAAAAGGTTTTTAAATTTTGCAAAGCATAGGTTCCAAATATTTAAAAAATATTCCATTCCCAAAGCAAAAAGCATAAAACCAAAAGCAGAGATTAAAAAAATTAATTTATAATGAACAGAGTATATAGAGGATAATATGGCCCATGCAAAACAAAAACCAAACACCAACAGAACAAAAACAAAACAACACAAAAGAAAGAGAAAATAAAGACCCTGTTAGTTACTAAACAAAAATAAATGCAGCAAAGCAGATCATTAACAATGTTTACCACAATTTTTGTGAAATATCAGATTTTAATCTTTGTTGATCACCAAGGTATTTGTTCGACATGTTTTAACTTAAAATTTTGCAATTAATGTTTCAAATTAAATTTTTACCAAATTTTCATCATTCAAATTTTTAAAAATTAAAATCATATTTCACAAAAATTAATAATATATGTGAAGAACCTTTAAAATTAAAAATTAATTAGTGCCATGGTATGTTATCGCAAATTAATGTCAATAGTTCTGTAACTAAGAAAAAGATACTGGGAACAAAAAATTTTAAATAGATTTTATCTAAATTTACAGGAATATGAAATAAATGTTATTCATTTGAAAAAAATAAACAACTTGTATTCTATCAGAAGTGTGCAGACTTAAGGATGTTCCTAATGTAATTTTACTTTTTTCATAATAAAGGAATCAGATTTAAAAGGTTTTTACTTTAAGCCGAATCAAAAAAACTCGAAGTCCAATAAATATTTCAATTAGTTTAACCCTAGAATTATTTTATTTGGCCATATTTAAGCATTAAGTACAGCAATTACTTTAGTTAATTAATACAGCACTTAAGTGTTTTTTCCAAAGCTTTGGATATTCTACAAGAGACTACACATCCAGCACCAATTCAATAACCCCACATTCACCATTCAGACCCCATCAGAAGAGTACAACCAATTCTACAAATTCACTTCTACATTTAGTAAGCATTCTTTGTTATTAAGTTATTTGTTACTAAGCATAAATTAATGCAAACAAACCTAACATAGCAAAAGATTTAGTAAATAATAGTAATAATTTCAAGATATATTATAATAATATTTGAATCAAAATATTAAAGACAAATCTACTGAGTTCTTAAAACTTTCAGTCTTAGCAGATATTTCTTTAATATTTTGAAATTTAAAGTTATCTATTTATGTTACCTTCGGTTAAATTATCTTTCAGTGCAAAATTTGACTTACTGAGCAAAATGAAAAACATCAAACACAAATTTTTCCATTTTAATCCCATTAGGAGCATCTGGCTTTTGTAACTGGCCATTGGAGTCAACATAAGGAATTTTTTTCTTGGCCACATGGTGTTTCAACTGTGTCTCGTTTTCTTTTCTGATGAGACAAAACATACATGAATGGAAGAGTTGAGACAAACCATACATGAATGGTAGAGTTGAGACAAAACATACATGAATGGAAGAGTTGGGACAAACCATACATGAATGGAAGAGTTGGGACAAACCATACATGAATGGTAGAGTTGAGACAAAACATACATGAATGGAAGAGTTGGGACAAACCAAACATGAATGGAAGAGTTGAGACAAAACATACATGAATGGAGGAGTTGAGACAAACCATACATGAATGGAAGAGTTGAGACAAACCAAACATGAATGAAAGTGTTGGGACAAACCATACATGAATGGAAGAGTTGGGACAAACCATACATGAATGGAAGAGTTGGGACAAACCATACATGAATGGAAGAGTTGGGACAAACCATACATGAATGGAAGAGTTGGGACAAACCATACATGAATGGAAGAGTTAAGACAAAGCATACATGAATGGAGGAGTTGAGACAAACCATACATGAATGGAAGAGTTGGGACAAACCATACATGAATGGAAGAGTTAAGACAAAGCATACATGAATGGAAAAAATAATATTGTTTAGACAACTATAAAAGTATAAAGTGAAACTCACAAGCAAACAAACTTGAGGAAGTCAACTTTAAAGAAATGGTTGCATATATTTCCAGCATTAAACAGTAATCTGCCATCTGCTGTTCTTTTCTCGGCAGTCCTTAAAGTGATCTCACTGTACTCAACCACCTGGTACTTGCCATTGACCTTGCACACGACCCCAACTGCCTCCTTAGGGATTGTTTTCTCCACCACCTGTTAAATCATCTCCAACCTTCAGTTTTACCAAGCCACATTTCATTAGGTTATACAAATAAACTGACAGTTATTTGCAGGTCTGATCTTTAAAAATATATAAATCTGTGACTGTAAATTTAATCCAAATAAAAAGTTTTTGTATGAAAAAAAATTGTTGGTACCTTAGCCCCACATTCCACATCTTTGGTTAGACAAAATCCAATAAAAACAGGGTCAGCCATTTTGACCAGTATATTATCTACACAGTAAACATGGACATACTTGACACCACGAGAGGACAGGTCATCCAGGATACCCTGGTCTCTGAGAGCCTGGTACAGACCTCCATTACCAGCTGTTGAGGTAACAACCACATTTCTTAAATTTTCACCTGGTTTTTACTGGTATAAGCAAGATTCTTATTTAAACTGCCTAATTTTAGAATTTTCGCCAAATCTTCAATGAACTAGCATAAACAAACAAGCTTGGAATGTTTATACAAGTAAAAACTAAACCAAAAAAATATTTAAAAATCCAAATATGAATTATCTATCATTGAGTAACTCACTTTAATTTCTATCAGAGCCTATATTTGTGCTTATTCAATACTATTTATTTTCACCTACTAAGTTACATGGACGTAGAAGGTCTTTAGAAGAAGCTTACAAATTTGAAATGCTAAACAAATGCTTGATAATAAACAAGCATGTACAAAAACTGCATTATATATCTACATAAAGTGTTACGAAATAATAAAATTTATTAAAATGTATCTAAAAGTTACAGTTTACTCATAATTTTAAAAATAATAAAAAATCATTTTAGACATTCACTAAAAAGGTTTTAAAAAATGACTCATTAATTAAAAGACATAAGCTAATAGTTTTCATATTTTTAAATTATTATTTTTAGAATAGATCTAATTTTTATTTTCATTAATTAACCACATCAATTTCCTTTTAACTAGTCCAACATCTATGTAGAACAACCAGAACATACCTGGAGCCAAGGCCACTTTTGACTGAGATTCTAAAATTATTTTTCCATCAAAATCAAAACAAGGGAGTAAGCTCTGCTCAAACAGAATTATGTTTTCTTTGTTAAGGCCAAAATGGTTATGGCTACGGAAATAAGAATCTGTAGCTTCTTTGGTATGTTCACTTGTCATGATGTACCTGAAATAAATATAACATTTGGACTAATGCTAAAAATGTAAATAAGTAAAGACTGAAATTAATTTAGTACTTATCCACAAACATTCTAGCAGTTAGTAAGATATAAAAAGATAATTAAAAAAAGATTCCAATATTAAAAAATAAACATTTTCTCAACTTCACATACCAAGGCACATTGCAAGATTTTCCTGTTTCTTTTTCAGCCATTTTCTCCAGCTTGACAATTCTCTCTGCCTGGATCTGGTACAGTGTCTTGGCTGAGGGCAGGCCAACGTTATACATTCCTTTAGGGTAGGGAACCCCCAGCCGTGTGCCCTGACCCCCTGCCAACAGCAGCACAGCCACTTCATTGTTGCCTATGGCAGTCAGGCCTGGGGAACCAGATATACATTTTACAGTTCATTTAACACACATCCTAAAACAACACAGTTCAATGGAATTTAACAGACATGCTAAAACAACACAGTTCAACGGAATTTAACAGACATCCTAAAACAACACAGTTCAATGGAATTTAACAGACAACCTAAAACACACAACACAGTTCAACGGAATTTAACAGACATCCTAAAACACACAACACAGTTCAACGGAATTTAACAGACATCCTAAAACAACACAGTTCAACTGAATTTAACAGACATCCTAAAACAACACAGTTCAACTGAATTTAACAGACATCCTAAAACACACAACACAGTTCAATGGAATTTAACAGACATCCTAAAACAACACAGTTCAATGGAATTTAACAGACATCCTAAAACAACACAGTTCAAGGGAATTTAACAGACATCCTAAAACACCACAGTTCAACGGAATTTAACAGACATCCTAAAACACCACAGTTCAACGGAATTTAACAGACATCCTAAAACAACACAGTTCAATGGAATTTAACAGACATCCTAAAACACACACCACAGTTCAACTGAATTTTATACATTTCTTACAACACAAAAATAACATTTCAAGCTAGGTATTACTGTTCAGTTTCTAAAACAAAGAAACCATTGAATAATTAAACATAAGAAAGATGTCTACCAATATTCTCGTATTTTTTTAACAGCTCTTCACTGCTCCTGGCCACACTGCCACAGACAGCAGGCTCCAATGGCTGGAGGTGGTCGTCTATCTTTTCATTGGAATCTTTCAGAGACAGCTCTGCTTCTTTAAAATATTCATTGACCTCCTGCAATTACAATGTTATCAGCAATGTGTCAATGCTGATAATAATAACCTTATCATAACTTCACATTAAAAAAAAAGTAAACCTTTATTATGACATGCCTATGTACACTATTTGTGCTAGATTTTACTCATAAAATTGAAAAAAAAAAACAACCCAACCCAAGCATTACTCACATCAAGATTTATGTTTGAAATTTCATTGGCTAAGGAGTTCTGGAGATCTTCATTCAGATTGTCCCAGAACTGTAGCAGGTGACCTTGACCTGCAGCCTCACAGTTTTTCTTCAACGCTGTTATGTCCATATTCAACTAGTTGGTATTAAATGAGTCCCACCAAAGATTTTCAACAAAATGTACACAGTTGTATGCCAACTTTTGTCTCTACCTCTTGATGACTCAGATTACTGAAACAGGATCAACCAAAATTACAGGCATTTGACAGAGTAGGTAAATGTTGAAATAAAACACATTTCACAGATATTTAGAAACCCTATGGCGTGTATATATTTAGCCAACCTATGGTGTGCATGTATTGAATCACCCTTCTATGATGCACATGTATTTAGCCACCCTATGGTGTGCATGTATTGAATCACCCTTCTATGATGCACATGTATTTAGCCAACCTATGGTGTGCATGTATTGAATCACCCTTCTATGATGCACATGTATTTAGCCAACCTATGGTGTGCATGTATTGAATCACCCTTCTATGATGCACATGTATTTAGCCACCTTATGGTGTGCATGTATTGAATCACCCTTCTATGATGCACATGTATTTAGCCACCTTATGGTGTGCATGTATTGAATCACCCTTCTATGATGCACATGTATTTAGCCACCTTATGTGTTCAGATAGAGAGCTGTTTTTTTCAGGGAATGTTCTCTATCTAAACACTAGAGGTCAAAGGTTACTCCACAAGGTGATAAGCTCTTGTGATGTTGAAGGTCAGACCACACTTTGACTGTTTGGTTTATCAGCATGTACAACACCTAACTTCTGTTAGAATGTGTGGCTAATTAGCCTCTACAACACCTAACTTCTGTTAGAATGTGTGGCTAATTAGCCTCTACAACACCTAACTTCTGTTAGAATGTGTGGCTAATTAGCCTCTACAACACCTAACTTCTGTTAGAATGTGTGGCTAATTAGCCTCTACAACACCTAACTTCTGTTAGAATGTGTGGCTAATTAGCCTCTACAACAACTAACTTCTCAATGTGTGGCTAATTAGCCTCTACAACACCTAACTTCTGTTCGAATGTGTGGCTAATTAGCCTCTACAACACTTAACTTCTGTTAGAATGTGTGGCTAATTAGCCTCTACAACACCATTATTATTATTGGAGGTGAGAGTACCTAACAGAAACAAGCCTACAAGACAGACAGTGGTAGTTACACCGGCTGTGAGCCCAACTGCTTGATACTTTAATCAATAGACATTTATTTATTGAATGCAAGCATCAGCAAACATAACCAAATGTGTTTATCCTCTGTGTGTAGACCGTGGGTCAGGGGCCGCTTTTGTGCCGTGCAGAAATATAATGTTCTAATAGTTCAGTAAAATTACAGTCAAAGACATTTTTTAAATAGCCAGCATATACATCGTTTTCTTTTAAATAACAACATACTCGTTAAAGAGCTCATTTCATTCACTCGAGGAGGGGGGGGGGGGGGGGGGGGGCAGAGGTCATCCATAAAAGACGTCACGCTTTTTGGACGATTCCCCCCCCCCCCTTTTCCCCTCAATCACTCAAAGCCAGACCCCCTAAAATGACGTCACACCTCACCCTTCAACCCCCCCCCTTTTCAAAACTGCAGTTGAATTTTTTTTTTAAACATTGATATTTTTCCAAAATCTTGTCTGAACTCTGTCTACATAGAGTATTTAAATCAATTCCTATTTAAAAATTTCTAAAACGCAACCCCCCCCCCACTAAAACTCGCTTTATAACATTGCTTTTTTTATAATGCACAAGTGTGACTCACACCATCTGAACCCCCCCCCCCCCCCCCCCCTCATCACACACCGTCACAAAATTACGGACCTCCCCCCCCCAAAGTGTGACGTCATTTATGGACGACCCCCGCGTATATAAATGACGTTATGCTTAACAGGACAAGCTTAACAGGAGTGTGACGTCATGTGTGGACGATCCCATGCCCCCATTCCAAGAATCCCGGATCGCGGTTTACAGAGGGTTCCCGTTTTCAGACCGTCCCCATACATAAAAAACAACAACCGGGTTACTGATGCGACGCATGAAGAATGAGAAGAAAATAACAGCAATGCGGGAGAATCTGTTCCGGTTCAGAGGTTGACCAATCAGATCGTGAGCCACCCGTGTGGATATGACCTACCTATACTAGTATAAGCAACTTAAAGAACAATTTTTAAAAATGTAACGCGCTGTTATTAAACTTGAAAGACAAAACTAGTGCACACGCGGCAGATAATAAATAACACAACAGGTAGTTTAAAAGGCTTCTTTGTGAAGGTAACTCATTATTTGTATCTGTGAAAAACGTGGATAGTCTAGGGGTCCGACTAGTACATGGAGATAGGGCTTTAGTTTATCACTGGACCCAGTTACAACAGTAAACATAAAGGCGGGGTAAAACACCAATGGTGAATCTAGGTGAAGCTCAGCAACAGAACTCACTCAATGTGTGTACTGCGTCAATGTCGGGAGCAAAAGATGTCAACAAGTTCTCATCAAACGTTAAGCTTGATACATGTATCCACACTCAACAGCAATATAGCACTTACATAAACCTTTGACGTCCACAGAACAGCATTATAGCACTTAGATAAACCTTTAGCGACCGCAGAACTGCACTTACATAAACCTTTGACGTCCACAGAACAGCACTACATCACTTACATAAACCTTTGACGTCCACAGAACAGCACTACATCACTTACATAAACCTTTGACGTCCACAGAACAGCACTACATCACTTACATAAACCTTTGACGTCCACAGAACAGCACTATAGCACTTACATAAACCTTTGACGTCCACAGAACAGCACTTACACGAGTAACACAGCACCCGACACCTTTGGTCAAACGTCACACTGCCACACTATTTATAACCTAGCCCGCCATATCTCATGCAACTAGCGGTCTAAAGATAACACACTAAACCAATATCTATGATGCAATAGAAATAAAAATAACATTCCGTTCCGCGAATCTTACATACAAGTTCCGAGTTTATCTTCAATTCTTTGTTTACATACTAATTGCTTGCGTCACCTAATTGCTGATTTTAACGCCACGTATCCCACAATCACAACAGTTACGTAAACATGAGTAGTTAGGTTTACCGAGGGATTAGCTAATAATCCGTAAGAACATGACAATACCGAGAAACTTACGCTCGACGTTAGCAGAAGCAAATGTTACCCTTCATCCGTCGACCATAAGGGCCACAAATCCCTGTCCGTCGGCTTTTATAGCAAAGGGCAATAACCCACTTGCAAGGCCCGGCTAGACGCTAACGGGGCTATAAATAAACATGAAGCGACGTGGTAAAAAAAGCGAGACATGCAATAATCTCAGGCACCCCCTTCTTCCTTGTCACAATATTAACTTTCTTACGGGATATATTTCAATAGATAAAAACTTACGGCACAGTACTAAATACATCCGGTTGTCAAATATGCGAGACGGTAGCGGAGACAATAATATAAATATCACGTGTGATGTGTGGGAGAGACAAAGATAGAAATATCAGGTGTGATATGTGGGGAGAGACAAAGATAGAGATGTCAAGAGTGGTGTGTGGGGAGAGACAAGGATAGAAATACCAGGTGTGATGTGTGGGGAGAGACAAGGATAGAGATGTCAAGAGTGGTGTGTGGGGAGAGACAAGGATATAAATACCAGGTGTGATGTGTGAGGAGAGACAAGGATAGAAATACCAGGTGTGATGTGTGGGGGAAGAGGCAGCTATGTCGTCGTATAAATTTAGAAGAGGGGGTGCGTTTGAGGGCGTCATTGAACCGTGAAGCCCAAGTTCACCCAGTGTCTGCCTGCGTCCAACGAAAGAAATATCTATTTCTGTCAAACCTCGCCCCATCATTAAATCAATGTGTCACGCGAGCTAACACGTAGATAATCCTGGACGGGCAACTGGTCAGACTTAAAGAAACAGACTCTCTTTTTATGCTAATCGGCCACTCGTTAGATTTTCAGATAAATCCATCATTAATAAAGCGGGAGTGATCTCACCTAAACGGTCTCGTATCTTTTTAAGGTGAAAGAAACCGGTACATACAATTTAACGCTTATATATGGAACTTCATCTACCTATCTTAAATGGTACTCAAGTTATCGGCTTTTGAGCATTGTGAGATCAAGAAATCTGCCCCCCCCCCCCAGATAACATCATAACATTAGTGAGACGAATCTTGGTACTAGTTCACTACCCCACAATCCGACCCACTCAACTGCTGCATGTTATAAAATGCCTAGGGTAACTCATAAAAGATTTTAGGCTATAAATATGTTTGACAGTGACATGGATAAGAAAAGAAATATATAACCGCCCCAGTACACTGGGGTTGGCTCTAGGCTAGCTATAGAAGACTTCACAATGACATTTACAGCTGCAGAATATCTCCAATATGCTAGCAGTCAACATGACAACTATGGTAAAGGACGATTACAGTATATCCCCCCAATACGCTAGTAAATATTACAACTTAACTTTGGTATATGACAATTACCCCAAATGACACACCCTGTATCAGATAGCTAAGGACGAAGAACCACTTACTTAATCAGGAAAACGATTGGGCACAAATAAACGAGATAACACCACCACATACCCGCGTCATTAGACAATCTAGTAACAGGTTAACATGAGACGTTTCACACCACCACATACCCGCGTCATTAGACAGTCTAGTAACAGGTTAACATGAGACGTTTCACACCACCACATACCCGCGTCATTAGACAGTCTAGTAACAGGTTAACATGAGACGTTTCACACCACCACATACCCGCGTCATTAGACAGTCTAGTAACAGGTTGACATGAGACGTTTCACACCACCACATACCCGCGTCATTAGACAGTCTAGTAACAGGTTGACATGAGACGTTTCACACCACCACATACCCGCGTCATTAGACAATCTAGTAACATGTTGACATGAGACGTTTCACACCACCACATACCCGCGTCATTAGACAACCTAGTAACAGGTTAACATGAGACGTTTCACACCACCACATACCCGCGTCATTAGACAGTCTAGTAACAGGTTGACATGAGACGTTTCACACCACCACATACCCGCGTCATTAGACAATCTAGTAACAGGTTGACATGAGACGTTTCACACCACCACATACCCGCGTCATTAGACAATCTAGTAACAGGT